GATATTTAACTGAACATCAATTATATCACTTAAATATCAAACAATATAAGTACAAATTTATTAATTGCAAACAAGCCTATGTTACAAAATCAGACTTACACCGACATAAAAATAATGTTCATTTAAACGTGAGATATGTATGCGATTGGAGTGAACGTCGCAAACAGTTTACGAGAAACAATTCATAACAATATGTAACGTAGAAAACAAGTAATAATCACAATTGTTTAGTTCAAATAAAAATTCACAACAATGTTATAGTCTACAATTTTGTTTATACTAATTAATATCTATAAATAAAAACTTTATACAAATGAATGTATGCAAATAAGTTAATAATAAACATAATTTTATTAATTTACGAGCAAATTATGGTGTATATTGTGATCCCTGTCCCCCTGTTTGTCTCCTCTAGACTTGAGATCAAATAACTCCCTCAACAGCCGGAAGGGAACGACTTCGGGATCAGTCTCTTCGCAGTTCTTCCGGTGCCGATCGGACACCTCCTTCAGCGCCGGCAATGTGTCCAACAGTTTGCGCAGTTTGTCCTCAGACTCACTGTCCCTCCCGTACCTCAACAGTAGGTATCTCTTCAGTAAATACGTGTATATCTGTTGCTGTAGTCTATGATTGCATAAATGATTTTGAATATTAATTAAAAGTAATTATTTTTAATCAATTCATGGCATACATGACCGCTTCGTGGTGTATGAGGTTTGGCCGGTTAGGTGTGAATAATATGATTGCCGTTAACTGTAATTAAGAAGTTTGTTTAAAAATAATAATTTTTCTTTGATAATGATCATGGTGAATTACTTACTAGATTTAATACGATGGGATCGTTGTCCAGTTGTGGGCATATGCTGTGAAAAAATATTTTGAACCAATGGTTGACATTTCGCCGAAAATATCGCATTAACTCCACGTTTACTGTAATTGAGTTCTCGTTGTCCTATTGATTGACATAAAACAATGAGATTGAGAGAGAGAGAGAGAGAGACTATCTAAGGATGCATGTCATACCATAACGAAAGTCCAATTATCGTGAATGCAGTCATAGTTAGGAACGGATCGCATAATAAATAACTCGAGAAATCCATACTTTATAAGAGAGATCCTATCGTTTTCGCAAATACTGTGAAAGGCCTGCAAATTGCGAAACATTTGCACCAACTT